TACCCTACGACCCAGCAATTGCACTACTAGATATTTACCCCAAAGATACAAATGTATTGATCCAAAGAGGCACCTGCACCCCAATGCATCCCGATGTTTATAGCAGCAATGTCCACAATAGCCAAATTGTGGAAAGAGCCAAGATGTCCATCAACAGAAGAATGGATAAAGAAAATGTGGTATATATATACACTGGAATACTACTCAGCCATCAGAAAGGATGAATACTTACCATTTACATCAACGTGGATGGAACTGAAGGGTATTATGCTGAGCGAAGTCAATCAGGGAAAGACAATTACCATATGGTTACACTCACGTGGAATATAAGAAACAGCACAGAGGATCATAAGGGAAGGGAGGAAAAACTGAATGGGAAGTCATCCGTTAACTATAACTATTAACTATAGGAAACAAACTGAGGGTTGCTAGAGGGGAGGTGGTTGGGGGAATGAGATAATTGGGTGATGAGCATTAAGGAGGGTACATGATGTGATGAGCACTGGGTATTACATGCAATTGATGAATTACTGAACACGTGAAACTAATGATGTACTATATGTTGGCTAATTGAATCTAAATAAAATCAAAACAAAACAAAAAGATAAGAGACAGCAAATAGCAAATGGCATTTCTAAAAACCACACTATCCTCTAATATATACCTGATGTCATGTAAAACTGTAATTTGGAAAAAAAAAAAAAAGAGAATTTAATATTGCTGCTTCAGGACAGCAAAGGTTAAAGAAAAAATGTAGCATATACATTAGAAGCAGAAAAGATTAATGCATTCAATTTAGTAAAGAATGCAGGGGGGAGGGGAATAAATGATCAAACTAGATTCAAGTTAATGCATTAGGCTGTTCCTCCTGAGATTCTTGTCCGAAAAACTTTGTAGCATATGAGATCACATATTTAATGCTGTCTTTAAGGTAAGATTAAATGTTTATGGATTAAAAATGGCAAAGTCCAACTGCAGTGCTCCTTTAGTTTTTCCCCCCAGAAAGGTTCTTCCAATTAATTGTATTTTAAAAATAACTTATCATTCTTATAAATAATAATATCTTATTGAATAATAATAATTTGTATTATACAAATAGTATATTAAGTAAGATTTATATTTTGTTTGTGGGTTTTGTTGTTGTTGTTTGTTTTCTTAGTTTTATTACAATCAGGAACTATATGGTCATTTTCCATGGAATTTAGAACCTGCTAAATCATATAATGGCTTGACAAGATTTATATTTAATCTGGATTATGTATTCTTTTAAAAACAAATATGATGTATAACATTGTTTAAAAAAGAGGAGCGGGCGCCTGGGTGGCTCAGTTGGTTAAGCAACTGCCTTCAGCTCAGGTCATGATCCCAGGGTCCTGGGATCAAGTCCCGCATTGGGCTCCCTGCTCTGCGGGGAGCCTGCTTCTCCCTCTCCCACTCCCCCTGCTTGTGTTCCCTCTCTCGCTGTGTCTCTCTCTGTCAAATAAATAAATAAAATCTTTAAAAAAATAATAATAAATAGAAAAAAAAGAGGAGCTATTTTAACCTTAACATTGTCCCAGCATAGTTAATTTAACATGAATGTGCTTCATTCTGGGCCCTCTAGGAGGCAAAAACAATTTTTTTTTAAGTTCTCAGTACCAGAAAGGGATGGTCCTCTGCAGGTTAATAGGCAAGTATTTTTTAATATTAAAAATTCAACATCTGGAAATGTGGTTTGTACAGCATATCTTATGTGGGGCATAAATGTGTGCTTTAGAGGTAATATTTTTAAAAATCTCTAGCATTTTCTTAAATGTAGGAATTTTATTAGCCAGGATAATGCATCTTTAAATTTTCAGAAGTCCACCATATAGCTACTCCTATGCCAGCAGTTCAGGCAATCAATCCACTGCTGATCAGTAAACCTTGTGTATAATACCAACCTATGATCCTAGCCTGTCCAATAACAGAAACAAGTACAAATAAATGGTTCTAAAAATTATGAGAGTCAACAGAGTATTTCTCATCCCAAGAGAAAAGAGCAAATCCACGGGAAAGAGAAAAGTTCTACCGAAAGATAGAATTTAAACTCATTTAACAGGTTTTTGCACGAGAAAAACAAACTTCCAAATGGTACAACTGTTCTGTTATACAGCCATATGCAACTATTTCTTTAAATATAAATGTTCATCATCTGATTGACTATTGGTATTAAGAAACACATCTATCAACAATTACAGAAAATCCTATTTTCTCCAAAATCAGGCAAAAGGCACTTTCATGTAGCACCTTCTTTTCCTGTTTGGTCCCAAGACTTAGATGATGCAAGTTCAGCATCTAAGTAATTTATGTCAAGAACTATAGTTAACAGTAAGATAATCAATGGTGAGTATTTCAATAGAATCTGCATGAGCTTTCTGAGTAACAATCAGACTGTAAAAAGGTGTTATTTTGTTGGCTTACCAGTTGTACTTTTGTTCCAAGGAAGTTCCACCATAAGTTCTAAATAATTTCTAGTCAGAGCATATTCTGGCATTGACTGAGGCATTTTTTTGAGTCTGTGGGGAAAAAATACACAGCAAAAATGTTCCATAACATAGAAAAATTCCCTAAAAACACAAAAATCCAGCATCTGCCTTTCTGGGTCAGATATATCATGCATATTAAAAAATCTGGAAATGTTTTTAAAAATCCGGTTATTTTGTTTTGTGATGTACTTATGGAACAAAATTAAAACAGAGAGCTGCAAACTGGAGGGGGCAGGGATGGGGGAAGGAACACTGTATCGGATTCTGTCCTTGAAATATGATCTTACCAGTATCAGCATCTCACAGAGGGGATCTCAAGTCATACTTATCCATTGATATACCTATCACAGTAAGATTTAAGTGTCTAACCATGCATAACACAATAATTATATTTTTTGTATCAGAGATGAAATCAGCTCGTAAAAGCAAGCTAGTATCATATATTTAATTAAAAGATGCAACTTCCATAATAAATGCAGTGTTTAACAAAGTGTTCTGCCCACAACAGATGTTCTACATTTATTAATTAATGCCAGTCAATATAAAATATCCCTGAACTACAACTCATGTCCTTAACTGTGAACCTGAGAAAGTCAAATCTTTAACTACTGAGCATTCACTTAGGTTCATTATAATTTACTAATAAAAGAAAATGCAACACAGTTATACTGTGTCAAGTACAGAAAGAAAATACTGGTGTTCTATTTAACCCTGAGATTATCCACATACCCTATGCTGTCATCAAGGTTTCTGTGTACTTTACCTTATACAAAGAGAAACTGACAGTCCCTGCCCTCTAGAGTTTACAATCTTTTTTCTAAAGAAGAAGTAAGTGACATGTGAAAAACACAGTGATAACTGAACAAACACTGTGTCTAAACAAAGCACAACCCATTAGTTAAGACAATAGAAAGGCAGTTAACAATAGTGGTCACATTTGACAGTACACTGTAGGTGGAAGAACTGCATCACTTACACACAGCACCTGAGAAAAAGCTTAGGGACGCTGGTATTAATTCAGGAGTATTAAGAATGTTTTAAAAATCAGACTCTGGTTGAGGAATGAAGAGGGATAATCTAAAGATTCCACAGATCACAGCTATAATCTGAGAATCTGGAAAGCAATGAAAGGTAAAAATTGACACTGGAAAGATAAAATGAATACAGTGGTCTATGTCTATATGAAATATAAGAAAAGGAGAAAGGTCAAAGAACATAAAACAAATAACTCAGCTTTCAGTTTGTGATCCAAAGAAGTAAACTCAAGTTTCCATGAGCAACAATTTTTAACATTAATATGCAAAATGAAAATACCAATGAGTGAATAGCTTCTTTTTAGCATCAATTTACCTTTTTATCTCTTTGACACAGACCTTATGGGCCTGCTCTGGCATACTGGATGTTCGTATTTTTCTCTCTAGCATGACGATGTCATCATTGTCTTCATCCTCATCATCATCTTCTAAAGCTCCTGGGATGTGTGTAATCCTCCTAATAGGACGTATTGCTATAACCTAAAGTAGAAAGTAGAAGAGTAAAACTGTGTGTCAAAATAAATTGGAAATGAGGTAGTTAGTTACACACAAGGTTATAATTGGTGCTGAATAACATTTTCAAAATTAGAGTCTACACCTTTAGGAACTAAGTTCAAAATGATAACTAAGAGGCACAAGCATATAAAAGCAGCAGAATTTCTAAAGTGGATCAACATAAAGTGGGCATTATTTTACTATATGCTTATACTACAATATGAGAAAAAAAATTCAAGAACTGGCTACTAAAGATAACGACAACATCTAGGAATATCTTTCTTTGAGCTACTACTGCAGCCACTACTTTCTTGATTATATTACTACTTAGCAATGGCCAACAGAATTCCACCTTCCCTCCTACATTACAAAATTTCTAACATCTTTAATGTTTCTACCATTGACTCTATTCTCTTTTGTCTCCAACACACAGAAAAGTCTTCCTCCTTTCAAAATATCTGATCTTACTATGTCCCTTTCCGTTAACTACACACTGTTTACTTCCCTTCTTCTGATGTTCTGTTTTTCCAACAAGTGGCTTTGACCACCACTTCCCTTTCCTCCTTGAGTACTTCAATAATCTGTACTTCATACTTTGGCTTTTGTCTCCATTATGTTGAAATTGCTCTCTGAAATCCAACAACGATCCTCTTTGCCAAGTCAAATGGCTTTATTTGTGTTCTCTTTCTCCACAACTTCTCTATCAGATTTTAAAACTTCCAAAGTGTTCTTTTGAAATTCTCAACTCAGTAATATCATGAATCAACACCAGCCAATCACTGGAGCAAATGATACACTGGTATTTCATTTAAAAGCATGGGAATTTATTTTTTAAAGTATTATTATTATCTATTTAATACATTCAAATATGAAAAGTTAAAAACATAAGGCAGTAAATAAAAAAGCAATTTTTTTTTTTTAAAGATTTTAT